TCCCATAACAAGCATAAACAAGTAGGGAGACAAGGGATCCCCCTACCTAACTCCCCTCTTACTTTTGAAGTACCCTACCAGGCTTCCATTTAGGGAAATGAAAAACTTAGAGTTAGTGATACAAGCCTTAATCCAGTCCCTAAACTATACATGTAACTTAAGAGCCTCAAGAGTAGCTAAAGCAAAGTCCCAAGTAATGAAGTAAAAGGTTTTTGGAAAATCCACCTTAATAGCACATTTTTGGAGAAATAACACTTATTCTATAACCTCTCACTACCTCCTAAGTAAGAAGAGTGTTATCCACTATACTCCTACCATTCACAAAAGTTGATTGGTTGAGAGAAACTAAACCAACAAAGTAATCAGCTAGCTTATTCACTAAAATTTTTGTAATAGTCTTATAAACTACAGAACAACATGAATTATGCTTGTAGTCCTTAGCCCTGTATGAATTAGGAAGTTTTGGAATCAAGGTAATAGTTGTTGCATTAAAGGCTGACAACAGTCTAGCAGTGGCAAAGAAATGCTCAATATCTATAACAAAATCAACTTCCACAATATCCCAAGTTATTTTAAAGAAACCATTGGTATACCCATTAGGCCTTGGTGCCTTGTCTTTGCTTTGACTAAATATGGCACTCTTAATTTCCTCCTCAACGACATTCTTAACAAGAGCCATTTTCCCCTCAATAGGTAGAACCACTATAACAACCCCTTAAACTATCAACACTACATCCTCTAATACTCTCATAATTGCTCCCAATCTATTCTGAAAAAAAACCTAATGAACTCAGCAGAAATAGAGTCAAAAGTTTCTAATCTCTTATCATTATCATCAAACAAAACTCTCATAGTATCTTTCTTCCTCTTCATAGCCACCTGAGAGTGAAAAAAACCTAGTACATTGATCACCTTCCTACAACCAATACACTCTAGATTTTTTCATATAGAACTAGTATTCAACCAACTCAAGGTCATCCAACTCTTTCTCTAATTGCTTCTCCATCTCCATTTTTCCATACTAGGTTTAGTCAAAGTCAAAATCTAATGCTTGGCCAACTATTCCCTTTTAACAGCAACCCTATTGGAAATCTTAGAAAAATACTCTTTATTTAACTCTTTCAACCTAAACTTAAGTCTAGTTTTCCAAATAATACATGCATAGGATCACCAACAACATGTTCACTCAAAGAATCCCTAACTATATTTCTAAACTCAGGATGAAGAGTCCAAAGGTTGAAAAACTTAAAAGGTTTTAGCCTAGACTCCAGACTACCCTTGTCACACTACACAACAGCCAGACAATGGTCAAAATCCCCAGGGGCTTTGAACTCCACACAATATTCAGAAAAATTATCACATCAACAATCATTCATAAGAACTCTATCCAGTTTCATGGCAAAGAAACTAGCCTCCTATTTGTTTGACCAGGTGAAGAGTGGACCAAAATAAGGGTGATCCACTAACCCTAACCTTCCTATGCAACTCTAAAAGTCTTCAATATCATTAGTAAAATGAACCCCAACCTTCCCATGATTAGAGTCTTCTTCAATATTAATAGTGATATTGAAGTCCCCACCAATCGCCCACGGAAAATCCCTAATTCTATCTATAATATCCTGCAACTGCTGCCAAAGATCATTTCTAACACATCAATCATTACTGCCATAAACAACAATGACCACAATATCTTTACCCCCTAAACTTCCCTTGATAGAAATAGTCTGATTGTGAAGAATATAAAAGTTTAAACCCTTCTTCCAACAGACCCAAATTCTACCATTCTCCACATAGTCATAGTTCCAACAGTACTCCCACACATCAGCAAATTTAGAAACAATATCAGTGGCATTACTAATTCTAACTCTAGTTTCAAGCAAACAAAAGACTTCTACATTAAGTTTTTCAGCTCTAGGCATTACTCTACTCTGATTTTGGGGTGATTAAAACCCCTTACATTCAAAAAATATTATAGTCATAAGGAACTGTGTATAGACATACCTCTTACTAAACTTGCAGCAACACCACTGACCCTTTTGCTCTTATACACCATGTCATTCTTCTTCGCCTTCATATCTTGCAAAATAGCAGCCACACCTTGTGAAGCCAATCGAGGCTTACGCCCCCCAACTTTACCCTCTTCCAAAGTAAAGTTAAGAATCTCAAATCTATTAAAGGAACCAACAAATACAACCTTGTTCTTTTCCCCTTTATTTCCTCTACCAGCCTTCTTCAACAAATGTTCAACATATCTCTCAACACTCCCAGAGACCTCACTACTCACCACACACCCTTGTGCAACCACCCCTCTTACCTCATCTTGAGAAATAATATCTTTATGTGGAATACCCTTAGTAGACTCATCAACCTTAGCCAAATCCACAGAGTCGTCTTTAGTAGATTCTTCAACCCCAACCATCTTCTTCTCCTTAACTCTCAACTCCTGTTGTCCAGGCTTAGCCTCAACACATGATTTATCAGAATGCCCAAAAACTTTACAGTGAGGGAAGGACGGAGGAAATTATGGCACTACCATCTTCACCTCCCCTACAGAATCATCCCTCAATTTAATAAAGATCAATCCTAGAACCCTATATCCAACACCCACATCTAGACAGACCTTGGCATACTCTAAATGTTCCTTAGATGTTGTAATGGAATCCATATACAATGGGATCCTCAACGCACTTGCAACGTAACTGATCCCCTTTTATGAGTACAATTCCAATGAAAATGTTAAAAAATTGCATCCATATGGTCATTTTTGCCAAATCCAAACTATGTTTCGTCAAGTTCGACTCTCACTTCCTCAAAATCAGTGGCTTGTGTTGAATGTGCCAGTGACCGTTCTCCAAAACCTAGTCCCTCGTGGTAGCATTCGCAAAAGAAAACACATACAAGTTAGTTTCTGCAAGACTAACCTTCATCGTCGAGTGCTTGCCCCACATCAGCTCTACGATTTTCTGCATAACACCAAAGTTCGGAGCAAAATCGATGAACTGCCCAACCATAGTGAGTTTCCACTCCGAGATTCCCTCATCGAAAATACCAGAAGGAGGACTCACAATCAGAGAACCATCGCGAAGCTCAAGGCGGAAGAAATCCAATGAATATTCCTCCGCCCCCGAGAACAACTTCTTTCACTCCATGAAAACGCCAATCAAAACCCAAAACCTAGCCAAAAATCAATCAAACCCACCCATTAATGGCCAAACCCTAAAACCCCCACCAAAATCCCCAAAACAATAGGTCGATCATCGGAGAGAGAAAATGATTTAAGTGTAGAACTGCCTTAAGGAATGAGTATATAAAGTGTCTTGGTATCCTTCGAAACTGCAGCTGTAGAATGCCGATAAATCAGTCCCGTTTCGAACTGCGACGGCCTGCCCTTGATCATGCTAAGGAATTGTTATTTTTCAAGTTTCGAGTTCGGAAAAATTCATTTACAGATTGTATGTGTTATTAATAGCCTAAGAAAACATTTGAATAAATATTATCTTTTAATTATCTAAAACCATTCAAAAGAGAGAAATTTATAAAATATTATTAGTCAAAAACTATTGTTCATGTTCATAAATTTGAAATATCGTATTAAATATTATCTAGGATCTTAATTTTATCCTTTTTTTAATAACATGCTTTTAATTCTATCGAGAGCTCTGACTAATTCATAAAATGAAAATCATAAGCAAATTATGAGATAAAACTCCGACCAAAATTAATATCTTAACCCTATAATCTACGAAATAACTTTCAACAGATTATACGTTACATGGCTTTTTTTTTATCAATATCCTTGAACTCTTAATTTAGAATCACACACGTATAATTAAGGAATAAGTTGCAATATGCAAATGAGAGGTCAATATATAAACATGGCTTTCTCTGTCACGATCCAATGAAACATCAACCACTTACGACCAAAAGTCAAATCCTACTTTTATACTTAACCCTATTTAGGGTTTTGTTATTTTTTTCCATGACTTCTTCATTCATTTGATTTCCTTCCCATTTTCAGTGGACTTCAGAATGGGGTTTTACACTTGAGTTAGATTTATTCTCCATTTTTAACTTTTCCCCAAGTTGAATCTTTCGGTTTCAAATTTTACACTTGAGGATGCAAAATCCTTACGAATGCCCCTTCTTTGGTGTCTCACAAATAATTTATTGGCACATGGATTAGTCATTAATTCTCCTAAAAATATTTTCTTACGGATAATTCACCCACTCACGTTACTTGACAATTAAAAGGATTTAGTGAAAAAATCCTTCTACTAATAAACTCGTCTCTAACCCCAAAAATATAGAAAGAACAAGAAGTCTTCTTATCAAGAATTCCACATCTTAATTTGATCCAAAATAAAGTATAATGAACAAGAAAAGAAAATGTCATTAACAACCTCCAAATCTAGTATTGTTGTCCAGTAATGATGTTATTTAAGTTTTTTTTAAATATATTTATTTTAACATTACATGTTCTATTTAAAATTATACAATATTAATATGGAAAACATGAGATGATTAAACCTATGAAAATGAAGAAGACAAGTTTAAGTTTTGTTTAGCACCAAATTTACTGGAAAAATAAACAACCGATAAAAATTTATAATGTCAGAGTCTACTTTTAATTGAATATGTTTTTTTCCTTTATTTTGATGTTAGAGATGAATTAATTAGAAGATAGAATCTTGTTATTTGCAAGCCCGATTCATAATTTTTATAGAAGATGGGGGAGAAGAAGGTATGAGAACTGTGGAGTGCTAAAGAAGAAGACTTCTTGTTCTTTCCTTATTTTGGAGTTAGGGATGAGTTTATTAGCAGCAAGAATCTTTTCACTAAATCCTTTTAATTGATGTTTAACGTGAGTGAGTGAATTATAAGTAAAAATATATCAAGGGAATAAATAGACTAATACATGTGTCAATAAATTATTTGTGGGACACCAAAAGGTGCACCAAGGAGGGATAGAAAATTTTTATTCAAATCCTTACACCCTCTTAATTGATTCCTAGACACTACCATTAATGGATTAGGGTCCGGGGCCAATTCCCCGAGGAACAAGCAAATTTCAAGTTCTTCAACTAGCCCCAACTTGCCTTTCTAGCAACTATCTACAATCAATATTACATGGTTTATGTACTCTGGAAGAAGTTTGGGAGTGGTCAAAAGAACGACAAAATAATGATTCAAGATACAAACAGAAATGCAATAACTTTGTTAGGGGGGAAAAAGCATAATATAATCATCTACCAACCCTTTACGAATGCATTTAATTAACTCTCCATGTATCAATTTCGTCATTATCGTAGTCAGTAAACCACACCTTACCTTCCTCAGGAAGCTTTGATCTTGCAGTAGTTGGACGAGGAGATGATGTTTGAATGAATATTGGTAAAAATGTTTCCACAAGAATACAACCAGTGAAAATGTATTCACTCTGCCCGGTTAAATGCCAAGAGAGATGGTGGGTATATCCTAGTTTGAGAACAATGCACCCTCACAATGCATGAGGCTGTGGATCATGGGGGAAAAGATCGACAAGAAATCGATGAATCATCTCGAAACTGGTGAATGTGATAACAGCTGCAGGTGTGGTCCGGATAAGATTTATCGCGCACCCGCGGTAGAATCCGGGAACACCTTCTTGCTGAAATATTTTCTTAATGCAATCAACGACACCGGAATAACGTTTCACGGAGTGATTTCCCTCTTCCTGAAGCCTTGAGCGTACCACCTGTATTGTAAGAGAATAAATGCAAGCGTGCTAGACTAATCAGCTTACAATGTTAAACTGCCGCTATGTATAAAGAAACGTGTATAAATGCATCTCTTAGAGACATAGGCTATGGCAAATTAAAGAATGAACACATACATCATACCTCATGTGGGTAAGTCAATGTGGATGCAAATATTTTGGAAACTGACGTTGCAACAGCAACATCGCGTGCACTGAGTTTATCCGTTGTGGTTTTCTCTGCTAAGGCCTCATAAAGTTAAAAACTTTTCACCGAGTATAAGCAACTTAAATTGTGTAGATAGATTATTAACCTTGATCAGCCAAATAGAATTTTATTTTCTCAAATAACGGGAAAAAAATGGCAACGTTACTGATACCAGCTAATGCAGGGATAAGACCACTGTTCATCATGCAAAAATTAGACACCGATGGATCATTTCTCAAATCAAAACATGCAAAAAAACAACTTAAGAGCACAGAAAACAGAAAAATTTATCAATTCCTTATGAATGGTGACACAAGACCTGTATAGACCCCGAACACCCTCTTCATGAGCTATTCTTCTCAAAGCAGAAAGCGTACTCTTATATGGAACCACTTCCGTTCTCATTCCTTGAGTCTATTGGGGAAAAAAGGAACATCAATGCACAAAATGAAATAGTTCAAAGCTATTATCTATAATAGCAACATAATACAGTTGAAATAATAATAATAATAATAGTAGTAGTAGTACAAAGAACCAAGCATACTTGATTTTTTATGTATAGATAGATATAGATAATAAAAAGGAATTACTCCGAAATAACATGCAACCTATAAAGCCAAGTCAAGTAGCCTAAATAACACAAACCGGTCATTGAGCCCTCGATGAAGGCAGTCACTTTCTTTAGTGTGCTTAAACCATATATGGTCTCTCTTCTATTATTATTTTTATTCAAAGATTCTTGTGTTCATCCTAAAGGATCATTATTTCACTTTGGAACGGGCCTCCTGATTCCTCCACACTTTCAGGGTTTTTACTTTGTAGGCAGTGGGGAGACATACTTATAAAGAGCAACAAAAGGATTAGAGGTTAAAGTTTCCATATCCTATAGCAAACAATAGTTGGAAACTTGGAATGAAATAAAAGGCAAGATAACTTAGAAATCCAATATAAGTGAAGATTGCTGCATAGAGCATGGCACGAGTTAGTATTTTCATTTCATCATATGCCATTACATAGTGTGTGTATAACTTCATCATAAGCCATTATGTAATGCGTGTGTGTGTGTGCATAAAGTTGAGACACGCACTTGAAGTCTTATCTTCACTACCCAAAGTGGATTTGTGGAAATGGTTGTAGCAGCTCCAGCACCAGCTGCAGCTAGCATGTTAGCACCTACTGTAAGATGGTGATTCTCATCTAAACATGCACACAGAAGAAGTCGATCAGAAATTGATAAGAAAAATTGCAAGATAAGCATAGAGAAAAATAAGGTAAAAAGGAAGAAATAAATGGTCTATGATAAGACTGAATTGTGAATCCATAGGCTAGCGACTAACCATCAGAACAAAGAAAGTATTTGAGTTGCTCATACATTGGAAAATATACCTGCAAAAAGAACGGAATCCCTCAATTCAAGCAAGCAGTGCAGAAATAGATAGAAGATGTGAATCCCAATAACTGAGGCATGTTAAACACTTCTGCATCTAGGCTAATAATTTGATCTGGAATAAAGAAAAGAACCACAGAAATCTAAAGAAATAGGTGGTTTTCATATTTGAATTACTTCAACAATAAAATCCTCAAAAAGTAAACCTAAACTTCTCCAGAATAGTGTTATGCATGATTGGGACAGGAAACAGCAAGTATAATTACTATCATGTTGCATGATCAAAATAACATATTTAGAAGGCATAATTTTATCATTTCAATACTTAACAGATTTACATCTACGATGGATATTTCAATCTCAAAACTCTTTCTCTATTAGGCTATCTTTGTGTATTTTGTGAAATTAAGCAATGCTTTGCTAAAAAGCATTGGAACGGATAAAAAAATAGAAACAGAGAATAAAAAGCTTACTGCCCAATTAGGAATTAAAGCGAGTACAGTAGGAGCAAGCCCACGGTACATACCACGAAGACCTTCCTTCTGAACTATTTGTTCCAAGCTATCAACTATAAGACTACCTGATTAAATAATTAAAAAAACACACAAAAAGAAGTCAGACATCAGAAGCCTTAAACATTATTGTATTCTTTTCTCTGTTTCTCCCACTCTCTGAAACTGAATGAAAGCAATTCAGTATTACATACGTTTAACGGTTGAGTTGCCGAGATTTGGAAGCCCATGAACCTGGAATCTAGTCTTTATAATATCTAAAGGACACACGAATGTCGCAGCAATAGCACCTACACGTGAGCAAAAGAAAACTCCAAAACTCAGATACAGAGTATCGTCTTGGAGGAAAATATATAGAAGTATTTTACATACCGGCGGCGGCACCAGCGGCGGCATTGCAAAGGAGATCCCTACGATTCGGGGCATGTGAATCATTGGTCATTTGTAGAACTTTTTATATGAATCTGTAAACAAGCGAAGGTTTTAGCCAAAAAAGAAAAGGAGTCCTCTCTCGGGAGGGATATCGCCGAGAACCAGAGTCGCATTGCCAGAGGATATAGATCTTTTGGAAACGAGTCGGCGTCGGCTTGCGAATGACCGAGTCAAATCGTCAAAGTTATGTTAAGTCGTTCAAAAATTCGTTAGGTTTTTGTTTGGCTATTATCGTCCTCTCGTCTCTCACCCAGAGATCAGCCATACATGGGTCCCCACTCCCAAGTGAAGTAGAAAGTCCAATCCAGAGAAAATTAATAATCTTTACTGCAAAGCAAAGTTTGCACGAAGCCGCCTGCGTGGTTGTTGCGATTTGACAATAATTTTGACCGTGTAAATTGCTTTAATTTGCCAAATAATTGTTGCATTTTGGAAAACTATCAATATTCTTGTTATGTGTTTTCTCTTCATTTTCCTACCTGGAAGACTGCTTTGGAAGAAAAATGTTTAAGGATCAATATTGAAAAGACAGAATATTTATGTTCAAACTTCAATGGGAACCAAAACGATGAAGATGTAGAAGTATGCATAGAAGGACACGTTCTTCCCTCAAAGGATTGTTTCAAGTACTTAGGGTCTATGATACATAAAGTTGGGGTGTAGATGATGACGTTACACACCGTATAAAGGCGGGATGGCTAAAGTGGAGAGCCGCTACTGGAGTTTTGTGTGACAAGAAGGTGCCTCTAAAACTTAAGGGAAAATTTTATAGAATGACAATAAGACCAGCGCTGTTGTATGGATCAGAATGTTGGGCAACCAAGAAGGATCACGTAAGGAGGATAGAGGCCGCAGAAATGAGAATGCTTCGATGGACATGTGGTAGGACTCTGTGGGATATGACGAGAAACTCTGCTATTAGGATGTCCTTAGGGGTGGTGTCTGTTTCCGAAAATTGAGGGAGGGAAGACTACGGTGGTTTGGGCATGTCCTTAGGCGACTACCGTCGGATGCGGTCAGGAGGGTAGAGTCGATTACAGTCGACGGTGCCAGAAGGAAAGGACGACCAAGGCGGAAGTGGGAAGACTGCTTGAGATCTGATTTGATGGATTTAGGCCTTACCGAAGACATGACCTATGATAGGAAATTATGGAGGCTTAAGACTAGGGTAGTCGAGTAGTGTGGGTCACATCTATAGGGTGTATCATCTTTGTCTTCTTTTAAATGCATTTGTAGTAATTTCCATGACTTTTACTTTTTATACTTTTCTGTTATTGGTATTTATGAAAGATTAGAACTGGGCTTGCTATAATTGTATTCTGTGTATCATTCTCGTCATGTTTCCTCTGTTAAATTTAGCCGGTCTTATGTTTCTGTCTATATGCAGAGATTCTTTCGCAGGGATTATTTTGCAGGGATTACTCCCCATTACAGAAGCACATATGATATTAATGACTGCATATGAATACTGTTTAGCTATGTATTTATGTAATTATTTATACATGCATTGCATTTTATCTATATTTTTAATTTTCTGACTGCCGGAGGTCTTTCACGGAAGCTATTCTCAACCTGGCGTTGGGGGCAGCCTACTACCCTACCTCCCCCTTACCCCATACATATGGGAATTGGGTTTTGTTGTTGTTGTTGTTGTCTTCATTTTCCTACCATCCTTTGCGTATTCTAAATTGAATGTTTTTGACGCAAAAGCATTTTTATAAGCAGTCCTAACGAGACCGAAACATGACTCGTTCCACGAATAAATAAAATTCGTGATGAATGTAGGACTTCTTGAACTAAAGCTTTTGTAATACAAATTTGAGTCTGTTTGTTTTTTGTAATTGGTTTTCTGAAAATTGAAATATGAAAAATGAATTACATTTTTTAAAACGTTTTTTGAAAAATATTTTTCATAAAATAAATTACATTTTTCTGAAAAACATTTTCTAGAAATTATTTTACGATTGAAGACACTGAATTTCAACCGATTGTTATTATATAATAAATATATTTGTTTATTAATTTGGGGTTATATTTGTTACATTTACAGCCCAACAAATATTCACAAACCCTATTGGTCCACTTGTGTCTGACCTAATAAGAAGGCAAATTAGGGTTTTGGGTGTTCCAGTACCGTTTTTGTGGTCAACCGAACATCTCCATCAGCGCAACAAGTTGACCGAGGACTCCTCATGCTACACTCCTCACCAACTGCTCAACGACGCCCGATTCTCTCGGCCACAAGCATCGGTCGTGGGTTCCAAGCAACCAACAAGCATTCAAACAACAAATTTCAGTTTGAGTAGGATTCTATGACTAAAAATAGGATATGTGTAGGCTATAAATACAATGTAATCCATACTGTGTGGGACACGATCGATATACGAAAATCACACGAGATTACCAGAGAGCTTTACGCACAAAATACTCAAAATACGAGGTAAATTGGAGCTGTTGTAATCGATTCAAAAGGAAATAAAAAGGTAGTTTTTGCTCACCTTGTTGTTCGTTTTCACTTTTGCATGTATTTCTTTTGAGATTTGGCTCGGAAAAACCCCAAATACGCTAAAAAACCGATGAACAGAGGTGGGGTTTCGAAGTTTTCAAACCCAGATCTACACCTCGAGGTTTGTTTTTTGAAGAAAATAATTTGGTTTTCGAAACGAGGGAGTCTAGAGCTTTTTAAAAACTATGCCTTTTTCGTGTTTCGCCGCCGATGAACGGCGGCGGCGAGGCGACGCAGGGTGGCCGGGATCTGGATTTTTGGGCCTGTTCTTCAGAAATGAAGAACAGGCGAGAGCTTTTTTCTGAAATGGGGGGCCTCGCGCAAGAAAAGAAAGAAATGAAGCATTTTTTTTTAAAAAATTAAGTTTTATACAACCCATCATGCAACCAGTTAAGGCCGACCAGACCCGAGCGGATCCTTAGGGGATCCGCGTGTTTTTAAAACAAGAATGGAGCAATTCTATTCTTGGTCCCTCGTGGCTTTAATCCTTTTACTTTGACCCTAAATCCTAATTTAGGCCCTAATTCTCTCTTAATTTGGTCATTTAATTCGTTTTTCCTTTCAATTCGGTCCCCCCACGTTTGACTGTAAATCCCGAACTCTCTTTAAATTAGCCCACAAATTTCTTTCTTTTTGCATTTTAGTCCTTGTTATATGTATTTAACTATACTGCTTATTATTTATTATTGTTTTTTATTTCTTTTTATCCTTTCCGTTTTTTTATTATACTTTTTAGTATCTTATTATACTTTTTTATATAAATATATTGTTTATTTATTTATTATTATTATTTATTATCATTAACATGTATATATATTTTATTTAGTTTCGTCTTTATTATTATTGTCTATGTACATATTTAGTTATATTTTTTATTTTGTATATATATATTTTAGTTTTTCAATTTATTACCATTATATCATATACTTATTTCTTTTTTTTCTCTTGCTGTATTGTTACTCATTTTGTGTTTATTGTTTATTTATGTTTTATTATTATTATTATCAGTATATATTTTATTTCATTTTATTTTGTGATCTTTTTATTGTATTGATTTATTGATTTATTCATTTTTATCCTTCTTTATCTCATTTTCTTTATCTTCACTTTTTCATTTCTAACACTTTTCTTGATGCTTTAAGGGTACGTTTTCAAAAACGGTTAAAGGTAAGTAATTCGGATCGTCATTTTACCTTTTCATTTAAGATTACAATTTTCTTAACTAAAGACAACTGAAAATTATATAGTACCGAAAGGGCAGTTCAAGGGTGCTAACCCTTCCTTGACTGTAATCGACTCCCGAATCCGACACATCTTTGGAAAGACGCGGACCAGGTAAGAAATAAGGTATCCGGTCAACCCATTTTTTATAAAATAAATTATCGATGGCGACTCCTAACCCATTTTCCTAAGTCGAAGCCCAATTCCGGGGCCCAACCGAAAGGCGGTTCCGACAGCTTGGCGACCCTGCTGGGGACACAGGTAAGTGAGTCAAGCTAAGGTAATTTCCAGTTGTCTTTTTAACGAAAAGGCTAAGTTTAAATTTTTAGGTAATATTTCGATCCTTTTTTACTTACTTTTGATTATATTTTCGAGTAAATAGTTGTACTAATCATTTTCTCATGATTTCAGCCTTCAAAGGTTTGTTCACTTAAGGCTCTAAACCCGAGCTCCAAACCCATTTTAAGTGGGGGTGAAAGCGACGCCTTCGTATGAATTTATTCATCGTATGGGCCTAGCAAGTAGCCTTCGGGATTCATATACCTTATGCCTTCGTGTGAATTTATTCTCCGTATGGGCATAAGGGAATGTGTCCTCTCGAGTTTAACTTAGTCCACACAAGCATGTGATGGGTTTAGGACTAAGGGTCTGGTAAGCCCAAGGGGCACCGGCAAGGAGAACTCGGGTACCGTTTTTTAGAACCTAAACTGGGAAGCTATGGAGAAATAGAGCCTACCCCGAAACCACATTTCAAACCCTAGGACATTTTTACCCTAACCATGTTTTTGTTCCTTCTTACTCTTCTTATTTTTCTTTCGTCATTTCATATTTATTTATATGTTTTCATTTTACTAACGTTTTTACCTTTGTGTTTGTTTTCTAGCATTTGCATCATTACAAGAGACTATTGATCCCTAAAAAGTATTTGTTATACACAAAATAATTCGAATTAATGGACAAAGGTGTTGTAATGCAAGAGATTAAAAACCCTGATATACGACTATGGTCCGAGAAGACCCAAAAAGAAAAGGGAGACAATCTTCAAGGAATCTATGTGTTAGAGCTGGTTAATTATGCCTCTATCAGCCTAAAACAAAACAATGTTCAAGAGCTTCGAGACATCTGGGACAGTTGGAAGAATGATCGGAAACGGAAGTTCAGCCAACGGTACGGTGACATTGCACTTTTGCTTCATGTTAAGACTGATGAGCCATTGATCAGAGCCATGGTTCAATTCTGGAACCTGGGATATAGTTGCTTCACTTTTAACCGGGAGAACATGGTACCCACCATCGATGATACACTACACTGCTGCACTGTGAAAACATCAAACTAAAGCGAGTCTACATTAAACACATCAAAAGTCAACCTTTCAAGAACGCACTGGCCAAAGTTGCAGGAGTAGACGAGAAATGGGTAATTGATCGGACTCAGCGCAGAGGCAATGGG